ATGTTCCATTTTCGACCTCACCTTGACCATCGTAGTCCAGAATTCGATAGATCGTTCCTTCGGGTTGGGCCTGCCGCGAGCTTTCTCCGGCATATCGGCCCGAGTGGGTGTTGACTGTTTTGGGGGAGGCGAAGGCTCCACGGTTTCGAGGTAGTGGCATTTGGAGGGTTGGATCCGAGTGCTGTCAGATTCTTTCCCTTGGATTTGTTCGGCTCTTAGCGAGTTCTCTCTCAGTTTGTTCTAGACGTTTGGTAATGGCTCGATGAACGATCTCTTGTTCACGATATATGTTGTTACGTGTGATGATCACTGTTCTCATTTCTGCCATCTCGTCTCGAGTTTGAGCTAATTGAGTTGGGGATCTCGGTCTTGTTGCTCTAGCTGGATTGCCGGGAATTGTTCTGTCCGTTACACGGTTCAACACTCGAGATCCAGTTTGATCATTAGGAGGGTTTCGATCTGAGATCGTGTTCCTATCGGCGACGGCGATCGAGGTTCCGATCTGTGTTTGGGTCAAGTTGGTGGTCTCGGTGACGTTTATCCGGTCTACAGGTACCGGAGTGGTTCCAAGAAGGTTTCATGTTGGAACGACGTTTGTTCGATCGATGGGTGCTGGGATGGCTTCCAGAGTGTTTCCAGTGGGAGTGGTGTCGGTTGATCCAGATCGAACGTTGTCGGGGTTGTTCGCGTTGGGATCCATAATCGTGCTTAAGATCGGGTTCTTAGCAAGGGTGTTATTTGTTTATCTTCGCCGCAGTCGGCACCAAAATGGATCCTAAAATCCACACTCAGTATTTTGTAAAGATCGAAAGTTCAATATGGGGAAGACAAAGGATGTGGGCAACGATTCTCTTAAACACAACGATATAATCGGACTTCGGTTGACAAAAATTGACTTTTATTGAATATAGTATTTGTTTAAAAAGTGATGAACAAGATCAGAAACAACAACAAAGAGTGTAAGAAAGCGAACGAGAAATCTAAAGAAATGAGGTCGATGTGATCAATGAACAGCTCTAGGGTTATTCTTGTGTCCTTTTAATGTCATTCTAGCTCTCTTTTTATAGTCTCTTCGTCCTCTAACCGTCTCCGCGATCTCCAGAATCTTATCTTCCACCTCGCAAGGTCTGGCTCGACGGTTGGTTTAGTGATTACTCTAAATGGGGTTGGGCCTGTTCAGATAAGTGTAGAAATTGGGTCCAACACTGAGCATCTATAAACCCTGTCTTGCTTCTGGAGGTTTGTGTCCTCTCATCCGGGATAGCTCCAACCAAGATTGTCATCTTGATTTCTTCTGTCTCCCCGGACCATGCTTTTCGTCCGGAGGATCGCATGTGCGTTCCTCAACTTGTTGTCCAGCACAAGGATATATATTCTCTAAGTATCTTGCAAACAAATAATTATTTGAGTACATTGGATGTACAAGTGTGGAGATATGCACATGAGCATGTGATCCAGCAGCTATAGCATGAGAGCAAGGTATTTTCTCCACTTGATAGACACCACAATCACACTTTCCATTCTCTAAATCAGCCACACCGTCCATTTTTCCACCTTTCACAAAGATTTCCATCCATCAATTGGTTGCGCCCTCATCGTATCCGCTATTTCCGATCGAACAGCAAGCAAGTATTCAACACCCCGACCATGATCTGTTAGGAGACTCAAAGCATCTTCTCTCTTTTTCCAAAACCACTTTCCTAGCTTCTCCCTTATGAGCACCAACAGGAACTGAATCGAAAATCCTCTAGCTCGCTTTAGTGCGGAATTAATAGATTCAGAGATGTTGATAGTTTTTATGTTATACCTGTCCCCCTGACAATAAACCCTTGACCATAGGCTAACGTCGGCATTCTCCAAATACATTGTAATGTCCGGGTTTGCACTCCGTATCTAATCCATATACCGGTCAAAATCTGAAACCGTATGAGCATAAGTAGCACCTTTCACCAAGCACAAGAGATGTTTCCCTTTATACTTTTTGACAATGTTATCTTGAAGGTGATAAAAACATATTTCTCGGGTTGCCCAAGGAAACACCTTATCATACACACTTTTAATGGCCGTGTGCCGGTCGGAGACTATCACCAGAGGATGGTCATCAGATACACAAGTAGTCAATTTTGTGAAAAACCATTCCCATGAAGGTTCATCTTCAGCATCTACGATCCCAAAAGCCAATGGAAATATTTAAAAATTCTCATCTTGTGCGGCTGCAACCAACAAAACACCTCCATACTTTCCACTGAGGTTAGTCTCATCCACCACAATGACAATTCTCTGATACTTAAAAATCTTTGATAGAAGCTCCAAAAAAGAGAAATAGATAATTAAATGTATTGATGGAAACAAGTTCTATAGCCGTGATAGAATAGGGATTTGCTAAGGAGATTTGCTCGAGATATGATGGCAGATGTGAATATCCATCTTTTGTAGATCCTCTGACCAATGTTTGTGCATATAAAAGTGCTCTGTATGAAGTGGTGTCATCAAGCGTCATGCCAAACATGTTCTTCATTGCATCAGTGATATGATGCGGAGTCAACCCATCAATGATTCCAACACAAGCAATGAAAAGCCTACCAACATACTTCGGAGTATAGTCTCTCCGCTGAGCGATTTGGTCTCTCACTGAGCATGCATGTATTTGCACATACTTTGTTACCCAAAACGTGTTTGTCCCATGTTTCACACTCGCTCTGATCTTCTATCCACAACCACTAACCCGACATGTTTCCACAAGGAGAGTTGTCGTTGACTTGTATATTCTGAAGGAGAACTTACCCCTCACCGCTGTCAACCGCAGCTCTGAAAGTAGTGCATCCTTGCTAACAAAGCTCTGGTTGACATAGATAATGTTACCATTTGATATTCCTCTTTCAATAGCATATGTCTTTTTAAAATCTTCAAAACACATATCATCATCTTCTTCCTCATCTTCATCTTTAACTTTTCCATAAACACTGTAATTCTCACCATTCTCGTCCGCTTCGACAACAATAGAGATATCATCATCCTCCTCCTCATCATCCTTCTCCCCATCAGCATCCTCTCCATCATGATTTTCATCTTTAACCAAATCATCATCAACATTTTCAAAACATTCATCAGCTTCATCAGCTTCTTCTATTTCCTCTGAAACTGTTTTCACCTTGCTACGGCTTGATACACAAAGCCGTACTCCATGCGTTTTGGTTATCTCGAGCAAGTTTCGAACTTGTCTAACACTTGTAACATGAACAGGAGGGATATCTAGATCCATTTGTTGAATCATTTGATCTGTTGGTAGTGAGTAGGTTATCTCCACAGATTATGTGCTCATGTCTAGGTTAGAATCTTCTTGAGCCATTGAAACAGGTTCAGCATGTGTCGAACTTTCACTCAAAAGAAACATTCTCGCTCCTTTGAAATTATCAACCACAAAATCCCAACAGCCATCTTTGAACAACCAGTATCCATACATTGCATGTAACTGACGCATCATCTGCAAAAATTCAAAATAAAACACATTAGTAAACATAGAGAAAATGAAATTTTATTAAACACTGACGCCAACGACATATCAGTAACTCATCTGGAAGACTTAGACGACTTACTGGTAAGTTGTCCAAACATGTCATTTTTGCAATTGACTTTTCAATGGAACGGCTTATTTCTAAGTCGTCCAGCTTTGTTTGTTAAAAAAAAAAAACTCTAGACGACTTACCAATAAGTCGTCTATGATAAACGGGTTAGTTTTGCATTTGACCGACTTGTGTCAGATATTTGATTTTTTTCTGAACAACGTACCATTAAGTCATCTCTGGGAGAACAAAAATTTCAATATTTAATTAAAGATAGACGACTTTTCTATAAGTCGTCTCAGGTTAGTTTGCAGTTCGAAAAAACGTAAATATTTTACTTTTCGCAGACGACTTACTTGAAAGTTTCCCAGTTTGAGGACTTAAGAGAAAGTCGTCCGAGATAAGCAAGGTTTGACCAGAATTTCAGAAAAAAATCTGGAAGACTTTGCTTATCCTGAAAGACTTTCAAGTAAGTCGTCCGACTGGACGACTTCCCTGTAAGTCGTCTGGGAGAAGTAAAATATTTAAGTTTTATTTTCCAATTGCAAAACTAACCTGATATGACTTAAAGATAAGTCGTCTAAATTTAATAAAATATTGAAATTTTTGTTTTCTCAGAGACAGCTTAATGGTAAGTCGTCCAGGAAAAGTCAAATATCTGACACAAGTTGGTCAAATGCAAAACTAATCTGTTTATCATAGATGACTTATTGGTAAGTCGTCTACGGTTTTCTCTAGATTTTTTTTAACAAAACAAAACTAGACGACTTATAATTAAGTCATTTGTTTGAATAGAAAACTTATCCGTAAGTCTTCTACAGCCAAACGACTTAAGGGTAAGTCCTCTACGCAAACAGATCTTTTAAAAATTTCAATTTCATACCTTAAACTAGTGAGATAACTTTCTTAGCACACATGGTCTTCTCCAACCCACCCAGAACCTCAAACGAAAGTAATCCACGAAGACTAGTAACATTGAATGGCTCAATATACCATAAAATTTTTTGAATCAAAAGCTTGAATTTTTGGATGAATATGGAGACAAAACAAAAGAGATATTGTTTTTAGTTCATAACAATTGAGAAAGATAGTGCAAATCGACTTTAGGTGCATTAAAAGTTCAAATTGGTTATTCATAGTAGTTAGGATATTGATGGCAGTGGCAATCTTGTAAATATTTGAAGATGATGAGGTTGATAGAGTAAAATAAACAATTTTCAAAAAAAAAAATTAATGATATTTTCGTAAATAATGTGAATATGTGGATAAATAGGACAAAAGAAAAGTTATAAAAAAAATAGTTTTGTGTTTGACATTGAGTTTTGAGCCAAATTTACAAAAATTCTTAAACAAAAAAAAAGTGTTTGGTCGACTCGAGAAGATAGTCTTTACCTATTGAGTTAAAGGCGTTTCATGTGGGCTTTATTGTTGGAAGAGAAGAAAAAAAATGGTGGGAAGCATTAACCTCATCTCCTGCAACTTCTCTCGTCTTCCTCCTCCTCCTCTAAAACTCTCCAGACAACTTCAGACCCTAAGGCAACCCCGAATCCCTGCCCTTGTACAATCAAGAGCTCGTTCACCTTTTCTCCGTCGCAACAACAGTTGGCAGTTCCCGAAACACGAGAAGAAGGGTCTCTTCCATTTCCATGTGTGCAAAAGTTCACTAAACAACCCAGATCCAGACAAAACTAAAATTCAAGATGAAGGAAGAGACTGGACCAGCTCTGTGTTGCTTTTCGCGCTCTGGGGTGCGCTTCTTTACTATTGCTTCAACCTTGCTCCTGATCAAACCCCAGTAAACCACACAAACCCTCTTCTTCTCAAATACCGAAATGTGATAATGGATTGTGTTTTCAGTTATTATGTTTTTATCTTTTTATGCAGACACAAGACTTGTACTTTCTGAAAAAGCTGTTGAATTTGAAAGGTGATGATGGTTTTAGGATGAACCAGATCCTTGTTGGGTTATGGTATATAATGGGTTTATGGCCTGTGGTGTACGCTATGCTCTTACTTCCTACTGGTCGAAGGTAATCAATCCATCCATCATCAATCGTTTCAGTTGCTTCCCTTTTGCTGAGTTTATAGTGTTAAAGGCTAAGTTTTTATTAAGGCTAATGTTGATGATTATTATATCATTGTTCATTTGACAGTAAAACTCAGGCATGGCCTTTCGTTGTGTTTTCCTTCTTTGGTGGCGTCTACGCTTTGCTACCTTATTTTGCACTGTGGAATCCACCTTCTCCTCCTGTAACAGAGGATGAACTTAGACAATGGCCTTTGAGTGTCCTGGAATCAAAAGTAACTGCTGGGGTAACTCTCGTTGCAGGACTAGGTTTGATTCTTTATACGGTAGTTGGTAATGCCGGTGACTGGAAAGAGTTTTATCAGTACTTTCGAGAGAGCAAATTCGTAAGTCTAAGGAATGATATCTTTGCTCTTTTTTTGGACATAACATTGACTTAGTAATCCTTGTTAAAAAAAAACATATGCAGATTCATGTCACGAGTCTTGATTTCTGCTTACTCTCTGCTTTTGCTCCGTTTTGGGTTTACAATGACATGACCGCCAGAAAATGGTGAGTCCTACTGCTTTTTTTTTGCTTTTAAACTGTTTCCATTCTTTTTTAACCTGCTTTTGTTTTCAGGTTTGATAAAGGCCGTTGGCTGTTACCTGTATCCGTGGTGCCGTTCTTGGGACCTTCTTTGTATCTTCTCTTACGACCAGCATTGTCAGAGACAACACCTCCCGCAGATTCTGCGTCATCTTCTGACTAAAGTCAGTAGTAACATCAAGATTGGATTGATGATGGCTACTTCAGCTCCTTGCATATCTTCAGATTCAGTACCCACAGTGTTTTTACTCTCTTCTGTTGCTCCTTTATTGATGGAATTAGAATGAGAAATATTGTATTATATAAGGTGTTTAGAAACCCCCCTCATGAACAAAGGTTACTCTAGTGATGTTAATGAAAGGAAAGTCAAACCCAAAATTGTCAAAGTAATATATATATATATATATATATATATATATATATATATATATATATATATCCCCTTATTATTAATAGAAAAACAGATTTAAAAATTAATATTTGTTTTATGTTTTATTTACAGTACTACCATTATGCTGATGTGACAGCATTTTATGCATTCTCATAACAAGTATAAAACAATCATTTGGTTACTAGAGAATTTATAAGTAATGCCACTGATATAATTTTATGATTGTAATATGGATCTAAGAGCATCTTCAACCCTATCATCCTATTTGGGATGCTTCATTTTTTTTTTTTTGTCTGAATATATAAAAAATAAAAATGAACTAATTGCGGACCGTCACGTGTTACTGAGGCCCGTGAACAGTGCAAGTAACTAGCCATTTGAAGTGTTTAATTAAGCATTTTAAGAAGTAGTGCTTAGTGTTTTTTATAGGATCCACTGACAAAAAGCACTATGCACCCCTTTAAGCACCCCCTTAATGATGCTCTAAGAAACTTTATAATACACTTCCCAAGCATATATGGATCTTTATATATGCGATAAGGGTTAGTGGGTCGCAAGTCGAGGTAGATGGCTAGATGCTAGCTTTACCTTTCACACCGTGTTGAGCAGAGGTAGATCCGGCGAGCTTTGGCAGAGTGGCGGTCACTTAAATGCCCGCCTCTAGAAGTAAAATAGGTTTAGGCGAGTGATACACTTTTCTTCGTTTGTCGATTCTTTGATTACTCGATGAAATTTTTCATCTAGGGTTTAGATTTACTAGTCCCCTCTTCTTTTTAGGTTTCTCGAGAGAGTGAGTTTGCAGACCTCTCCCAATGAGATCACTCTTTGTAAGTTTCTGTAATCATAGTTTTTATCTCCATCTCTCCTATCAACTTTGCCCTCCGTAAATTTCTGTAACTTTTTTTTTGGTAAAAATCAATATAAGATTCTGCAATCAATCCTTAAAATCAATCTTGTAGGAGGTAGATTTACATCCTCCCCCAAGGCCCATCAGATAGCAGGCTCAGCCTATCTAGAAACGACCCAAGTCGGCCCATTATCCGATTACGTCTCGGCTCGGCTCAAGGACGCTTCGGTCAGCTCAAGTCTGGTCGCCTCGGCAACTAAACGACTATAATGAGCCGGCTAGAAACCCACGCTAACGGGCCGACCTAGAGGCCCATCAGTGAGAGGCCTTCGAAGAGACACCGATCTAGGTCATTTAGGGTAAAGAGAGATCACTATAAAAGGGAGAGAGGAAGCAACGAGAAAGGGATCTGAAATCAAGCACTGACTTACAAGACGGCTAGACCTAGGGTTTTACTCTCTGTACCGTTTCCAACTTGTACTTTTCTGGCTAACTTACAGAGTGACGCCGTCTCGTCTCGTTTGCTTCCTTATTTGTACACCAATTCTTTCATTAATAAATCGACTCTTTCACTCACAAAACATAAGACGCCTTTGAAATAACCCACCAACGACTCCTGTCAGCTTCTTACTGATAAATCACCGAGCTCGATTCAAACAATTGGCGCCCACACTAGGGCATAACGAAGTAGGTCAACAAAAGATGAGTCCGAGTAACGACTCAACTTCCAGCGAGGAAGCCGACGCAGTAGCACAAACTCTGGCTACTGCCGTACCGCTCGCCCCAACTTTCATCGATACTGTCATGGAACGCTTCGCGCGGCAAGACGAAGCCCAGAGGGCAACGACCGAGCAACTCGCCTCCATAGAGGCCATCCTCGCATCGTTCACCGAGACGGCTGCCACCAATGACCCCATCCGACGACAGCTTTTCAACACTAATAGAACAGTTAACCCTACTAGTGATGTCGCCGGAACACAGGCTGAGGAGATAGCTGCTCTCAAACAAGCACTCCTTGACATCAACTCGAAGATCCACAGCGTCACAACCTCCGCTTCGCTCATCGAAAGTGTTCTTGCGGATACTCTCCGAACGCCGTTCACCAGCAAAATAACCAATGTATGACGGTCTCTCAGACCCAACCGCTCTTATCACGTCTTTCAACATCGCTATAAGACGAACAAACTTCTGTCAAGAGGAGAAAGATGCCGGCTTTTGCCAGCTCTTCGTCAAAATTTTGACCGGTGCAGCTCTCACCTGGTTTACCGGCTTGCCAGAAACCTCCGTAGATAGCTTCCACGATCTTTCGTTGGCCTTCCTCAAAAATTACATAATGTTCACTCGTCAAGAAGCCAACGCATCAGATCTGTGGAACCTCTTTCAGTCACAGGGACAAAGCATCCGCGACTTCATGGAGAAGTTCAAAGCCATCGTTTCAAAAATTCAAGTCCCCGACAGCATCTCCGTGGACGCTCTCATGACAACTTGTACCGCCACCCGACTAAGTCCCTCTCCGATGCTATAGCCCAATAAAACAACTTTATCTGCATGGAGGAGGACACTAAGGCTATAATAAGCAAGCAGAACGCGACGAAGTATGCGTCAGCCAAGAGCAGTGAAGCCCGTTCCGAACCATGACAACACACCCCTAGCGAAAAAATGAACTCGAAGAAATTTTTTGTTTATGTCATCAATGAGGATGACCTCCCGGGCACCACAATCGTAGTCCGAGGAAAAGGATGGAGCCATTGGGATAAAGTCGACGATGACCAAAAACCCCCAGGCGCGTCTGAAGAATTAGGCTCTAGTCATGCCGAACCAGACAAATATTGCGCCTATCATAAAAGCAAAAATCACGACACAAAGAAGTGAAAAGTTTTATACGATCATTTTCTCTCTTCTATAGCCAATGGTAAGTTGGAGACTGAGCCTCCTAAAACCAAACAGAAGAATAACAACTGGAGCAAGAACAAAAACAAGAAGGCTCAGAAGTCGCAACCAAAGCCCCGCGAGCCGAACCTAAGACGAACCCTGGGCAAGTCACCCCTAAAGTGCAAGAGAAAGGAGAATCATCTGTGCACGAGGAAGCAGAATCTGCCCCCGGTGATCGACGCAGATACCTGACAAGCGACTCACCGAAAGGAGCAGCCGAGAGCCCGAAAACCTACGACATAGGATTAAGCAAAAGAACATCGAGGCAGAAATCTTCTCACACTCTACCGAGACAGGAAACACCCCGGTCGATGAGGCTTGCATCCCCTTGACCAATATCACAACCACGGAAAGTGCTCCCAAAGCCAGAAGAACCGAACGAGTGGACGCTCCAGATGAGCACAACCTTCGCCCATATCGTGTTGATCTACGAAACCACCTGAATTCAAAGGTAGATGATCTCTGCATTACACTCAGAAAGTCAAAAAGTTCCGACCTACGACAACAGCTCGAGTCGACGAAACACAGCTGTACGAAGCAGCCGAGCGTCGTGTGCTCGCTTGACGAGCACATTCAGAGCAAGCGAGCAAACGTGATCATGGGTGATCTATCCCATGCGGCGAATCCGTCCGATCAGTGAAGGCTCACCAACGCCAGGCGAAGACCTCACAGAGATGGCCATCCAAACCTGAGAATGACCCTACGATGATGTTCTCGGCAGAAGACGCTATGGGAGTACATATATCACACAACAATCCGCTTAGGCTGTTAGCTTAGGCGAATTTAGGACTTAGGTGGTTAGAATAGCAAGTCGGATCCTTTGAACGTTTTGTCGTCTATGTTCCGCGATTCTCTTTGTAACAACATTCAATCTATTTATCAATAAAAGCTCTTACCCAAATTTTTCATATGTATTCTGTTTATCTTTTTTTTAGTGGTTTCCGCAGAGATCCAGGACCTCGGGAGAATTAGGGTTTTCCCTAAGTTTCCATATTTGACGGAAAATTGACAGTGTGAATTTCGGTTCCCACAGTTTGGCGCTAGAAGGAGGGGGGGGGGGGTCGGATTTTCTTACACAATAACTGCTAAAACGAACGAGAAGATATATGCCTAACTTAAACGGCGACGTCATCTCGTTCAAGGAAATAACAACGATCGATTCGTTCAAGGAAGTTCGATATCTTGACTGGCTCGCTAATCCTGTCGTCGTTAAGAAAAAGAACATAAAGTGGCCAGTCTGCGTCGATTTCACCGATCTCAATAAAGCGTGTCCTAAAGATAGTTACCCACTGCCACATATCGATCGCTTAGTCGAGGAAACCGCAGGGAAAAACCTCTTATCTTTCATAGACGCTTTTTTCAGGTACCATCAGATCATGATGAACCCTGACGATTGAGAGAAAACCGCATTCATAGCTGATCGTGGAACTTACTGTTGGGGTCAAAATCGGTACGACGGAATTAATAACCAAAACTCCCCGCGAAAATACAAAAGGAACACTTTTATAAAACCCGAGGAATAGTTTTATAAAACTCAAAGTCATTTATAAAACTCGCAGACCGTTTTATAAAACTCGAAAGATCATATTATAAAACTCGAAGATCGTTTTATAAAACTCGAAGATCGTTTTATAAAACTCAAGAAATCGTTTTATAAAACTCGAGAATCGTTTTATAAAACTCAAAGATCGTTTTATAAAACTCGAAGATCGTTTTATAAAACTCGAGAAATCGTTTTATAAAACTCGAGAATCGTTTTATAAAACTCGAAGATTGTTTTATAAAACTCGCAGACCGTTTTACAAAACTCGAAAGATCGTTTTATAAAACTCGAAGATCATTTTATAAAACTCGAAGATCGTTTTATAAAACTCGAGAAATCGTTTTATAAAACTCGAGAAATCGTTTTTTAAAACTCGAGAATCGTTTTATAAAACTCGAAGATCGTTTTATAAAACTCGAGAAATCGTTTTATAAAACTCGAAGATCGTTTTATAAAACTCGAGAAATCGTTTTATAAAACTCAAAGATCGTTTTATAAAACTCAAAGATCGTTTTATAAAACTCGAGAAATCGTTTTATAAAACTCGAAGATCGTTTTATAAAACTCGAAGGTCGTTTTATGAAATCCGAAGATCGTTTTATAAAACTCGAGAATCGTTTTACAAAACCGCAAAAAACCGAAATAGCCGTAAAACGCGAACTAGTCGCAACTAGTTCGC